TAATTTTAGATGTCAACAATCATACTAATAATAGTCCTTGCTATATAACATATATAGACTGGTGTACCCTTAAGCTTCGCCTTTAAGTGTTGAACCCGACAGCGATATCCTGTCCTTAGGGCATACTTTTACAGTGAAAGCTGTTATGAGATCACAGCTTGGTTCACGTGCAGTTGTCCGCCGCCACCGGTGTCCGTAACCACATCACACAAAATTAGAAAAAATACCTAAAACCAATTACACAGTGGGGCTCAAGCCCGGGTCCGCTGAGTGCCAGCCCGGTATTCTACCACTAAGCTATGCTGGTGCTTGTGACTTGTTGGCAAACTTGCCTTAGGCAGACTTGATGTCGGGAACGCAATCGTGTTAATACGACTTATAAAGCGTTTTAAAACAGGGAACGAAAAACCAGTCGTCACAGAATGTAAATAGCATAACGAGTGGGCTGTCCAATGCTCGAACCCATTACAAAAACTTGTTCTTGTTCCCCTATTAACTGTGGCACATCGCATACCCACTTCAGACATAATTCCTCATCCTCGTCAGCCACTGCATGAACCGTTGGCACAAAATTCCTTGCAAGTGTTTAGCGGATACCATGCTTCTCAGAAAAATGATGAAAAATAGCATAGCGAATGCCGGCCTACTACCTCAAAAAATTTATTATTATAATCCCCTAGGGGGTATCAAACAAGTGTGCTTGCAGTAGTTACCCAATGAGTGTTTTGAAAAGGCTCTGAAAGGCGACTCTTCTAGCTTTCACTGTGACTGTGTTGCGCCTCCCACGCAGGCCTGGTGTTTTTGTATTGTATGATGTTACTCGAGAAGTTTAAATTGTGAATTTAGTGATGCTAATGAGGTATTCCGATTCGGAGCAATTTTTGTAACTGCTTAAATTTCCATCCTGGAGCACTTTGGAGCAGCAAAATTTTCTACAGTGGACTCTCATTAAATAAAATCTGATTGATTGATTGACATGTAGGGTTCGATGTCCCAAAACCACCATATGATTATGAGAGACGCCATAGTAGAGGGGTTCGGAAATCTTGACCACCTGGGCTTCTTTAACGTGCACCCAAATCTGACCACACGGGCCTACAATGTTTCCGCCTCCGTCGGAAATGCAGCCGCTGCAGCCGGAATTCGATTCTGCAACCTGCGGGTCAGCAGCCGAGTACCTTAGCCACTAGACCACCGCGTCGAGGCTTAAATGGAACCTGAAGGGACCACCAAAATGTGTTTCTTTTAACAGGAGTTCTATTTACTGAGAGGTGAACTGAGGTGCAGTATTCAGGGATGAAGTCAATCACATCAGAGGCAGTTGTTCCATTTAGGCAGCAGTTCCTTTTATCAGATTTCTGTTTACTGAGTGTCCACTGTATTTTGCAGCACTTTGGAGCAGCAAAATTTTCTACTTTAGAGCAATCTGTAGCAGCTGACATGAATAATTATTTTAGGGCTGTTCTGAAGAGCTAGAAATATTTCGATTAATTGCAAACCTCATGACAACAGAAATCTTAGGAGCACTTCCTATTTCAGTTGATGATGCAAAAATAATGCTGTTACATCGTCGAGCATTCTAGCAAAACTTGTTCAGTGATTATTCTTGTAGCAAATAAATAGAATACTGGTTGAATAAAATAGTACTTCATGAAATAAAATTCTAAATACACCCATGTGATTCTCAGCAGATTTGATAGACAAACGCTGTAACATACAACACCAAAGATTCACACAGTCCCAACAGCATTTCTCTAAGATGACTTCAAAGATAAAAAAAGGTACTTTTTTTTTTTTTTCACAACTTATTATATTGCAGGGCGCAACATGAGGTCATTTAGCTAGTCTCATAAAGCCAACCTCCTTTGGCACTCATCTCTGTGCTGAAACAGCACAATTTAAAAAAAATATCCTTTTCCTTTTCCAGTGGTGTTTTATGCAGCTGGGACGTGTTGTCTATGCACCAAAAGGCCTCAATAGTGTCCTCTAGAAAGCAGTGCAAAAAAAAAAACACGAGGCATACCTCATGCATTCACCTAAGACAACTCAAAGGTGAGAGCTATTTTGTTTTTATTGCAATATCAATTATATGAACATTCTTGACCGGATTTTGGCATCACCAAGAGCGCAGGCAGAAATATTTTTCATTTGGAAGGAGGAGAGGGGGGAGGCAGGCAAATCATCATTTTTTGCGCGATCAATATCATGGTGAAAGAAACTTTTTGAAAGGGGGCGTTTCCATTGTGCCCCCCCCCCCCCCCCTTGGTGCAATGCCACTGGCCGTCACCATCAATATCCTCCCACGCATTGTATTTTACATGTGGGTAAAAGCGCGTGAGCAGGAGCGACGAACGTGGCTAAAGCAGAGATAAAAAGAGCCAACCTATCTCCTATGCGCGAAGGACGGATGCAATAACATCACCCCATGTGTCAGGCCTGCCATCGATTGTTACTCAAGCAGAGAGGAACGCTCCGCCCGTCTTCAAGGAGCAGAAAGAAACTAGGACCGCAAGGGGGGTGCTATATGAACTTAACTTAAGGGTGTGATTGCTGGCACGCTCACTATTTAGGCAGACATTAAAGACAGCTGATATACCCTTCTATCTTGTGCTCTCAACGCGAACAGACTGTGCGAAAAGAGCTTTGCTTTCTAGAGCCGCCATATAAGGGTATGCACTGAGCCTTGATCGCAAGGCAGCCACACCATAGTCTCGCCATTTTGGAGGTCCACTCATACGTGCCATTCGCCATTCACAGAATTACTCTTATCTAGAGCAGTAGAGCGCATGCCCGTCAACACTGTTATTGGCTACGGCTTCAATCTCACATTGGCTACAAGCTCATGTTGATGCTTACATTATAGCCCAAGGACTTAACACGCAGTATGACCATGTTTGGTATCATTATGGCGTCTCTCTTTAGATATTTCTGGAAAAGAGAAGTATGGCAGCTGGAGCAGCTGGCTGGACGCTCTAAACAAGTCTGATTCTATCTACACGTGTGACGGCGTGCAAGAGGTGTTCCGGGGGTCTCTCTAGTCATCCAAGTCGCTGTACGGATATCGAACACCACGCGTGCAGAAATTTTTCTGCAAGTGCGGACAGTGTACGGACCTCATAAATGGCAACCCCGCCGCAAGTGCTCTTGGCGGATGACGTCAAGCCTTATTATTTGGTATAGCAATCCAATTTTTTGGTATCGCATTTTTTCCTAAGAACTTATGTGATACTACAAATTGTATTTTTTTGGACCCGATATCGCATCAGTAAAAGAAACGCTGGCTAAAGGGACAGTGATCACTCCAGTTGCTGAAGCGGTTTTTATGCTGTCAGTTATACAAAACGCGAAGTGGAGGTTAGCAGCACAGAAACTTTATGAGCAGTCTCATTATGCCTTGAGATGTAGCACGTCAGCAAGTGCGCCCTTCGAGTGATGCAGCCTCCCCCACTCCCTACCCCTAAAAAAAATTTGATGCAATGAATGCCGTGCCGCAATGTTCAATTTTTTTTCGTTTGTTTTCAACCGTACTCACTGACCCTGGAAAGCGAAGGGCATACATGTAACATGGTGTAACTGGTAACTAGTGAGGCCAGCGATGGCCTCACTAGTGAAAGCTGCGCACATTAAAACCAAATTGTGGCTGCTCCGACCAGCAGGCTTGCTTTTATTATTGAGATAACATTTTAAAAAAAGTCATGCGAAAATTTTCTATTCGCACCCTAGCAATATCCAGTTCGAAAGGGCAGAGTCTTTTGGGGGCTTTTAAACGCAACAGCGATTACGAACCCGGATGTGCTGATAGAAGGCATCACAAAAAAGCTCTTCTGAATGACTATCCAGGTATAGAGTATATTAGAGGAAAGTGTCAATGTGTTCCTACCGTTCACGTGTTCTTCTGTGGACGCGAAGCACAAAAAATTAGATCGCAATGTCAAGAAATAGATGTGACAGACATTGTGGCAACACGCGTGAAGTTATTAGAGAAATTCTCTTCAATTACATGCCGGGTGACTCTTCAAACGAGCGGCCCCGCCACGGTAGTCTAGTGGCTAAGGTACTTGGCTGCTGACCTCCAGACCACGGGATCGAATCCCGGCTGCGGTGGCTGCATTTTCGATGGAGGCAAAAATGCTGTAGGCCCGTGTGCTCAGATTTGGGTGCACTCTAGCTGATCAAAATTTCCGGAGCACTCCACTACGTCTCCCACAATCGTATGGTGGTTTTGGGACGTTAAACCCCACATATCAATCAATTTTCAAACGAGCTATCAGCTGCGTTCCTGGAATGGATGACGTTTGCCGATGAATCGCCGCCACAGTTTCACAATATACCAATTGGACTAAATGTCACGAGCCCATATGAAGAGAGCGTTTTGCCGTTAAGTGGACTTGCACAACAAAAGTTGCTTCGGCACCAAACATAGCATCGTGGATTATTTAGAATGCACGCGCGACTGCTTTATTCAGGGGATTAACTCTAGGTGCATGATTGTCCCTTTGGTGACCCCGAGAAAAAGGTGCACATGTTTTGACGTGCCGACATGAATAATGCCGGCGAGACACGTTTCCAAACCAGACTTTGGCGCAGTTTGGTGCAATTTTTGTTGATATTATCAGGATGACACAGTCAATTTGATTTGGCATGCTTCGGTGCAGTTGGCGCAGGAGTGGGATCACTACTGCACTATATGTTAAATCTATATTTTAGTATAGAATAAGAGAGAGTCGCTGCAGACACACATAGTACATACAGGTAAGCCCTTAACAATGGCAATAGCACAAAGATGGACTAGGTATCTAAAATCTATTGTGCTGGACAGTGTCGCACAACTGAAGTCAAGCAGTAATGAAGCCACATCAATAAGTACATAATGCTAGTTCTAAGGAATTGTCCATTATCAAAATGCATTAATATTGCAATTGATGTCAGTAAATTACACTTTGAAAAAAGATTCAAAACAACAAAAAAAGAGAAAGAGAAGAAGAAAGGCGTAGTCATACCTGAAGTCAAGTTCAGAGGTGTTTATAGGTAAGGGCATATAGTCAGATCCAGTTTTTTTTTCAAATACAGTAACCAGTGCGTCGATCTAAAAAGGTTCATTATTGAGAAATGTAAAAGCAGCCACAGGTGTGCTGACTCAAACACATATTTTGGAAGCACTATGCTTTAAGAGCAAAATAACTTACAGTTTTGGCCATGTGCTGCTGCACAAGATGATCATTTTTATTTTTGATATTCTCAATAAACTCTGATAGGGATACCTATGAAAAAGTAAATAACATGGGTGAGCAGCAGTATGATGAAGTTTGAAAACATGGAATAGCATGTTCATTCAGGAAAATACATAAGTACTATAGCACACGTCATGATGACAATTTCCAGCTGGTTACATTTTATTATCACTTACTGATATACACCGGCAGGTATTTTCGAAATGCATATTGACACAGCTTGTGGTAATGACGTATCACAAAAAAGAATGTGACAAAAATCATTACATTATACTAATCATGCCTTGCAACTTGGATAATAAAACTAGGGCACAGTATGATCACAGGGCTAACATTATAACTTCCATGTCCCTCATTCAGCATACAGTAAAACTCAGGATGAACGGTCAATTATAGGCCACAGTTGCATCTTTTCAATATTTGAATGTTTCACCCCATAACTTTGCTGAGAGTCTTATTAAAGAACTAGAAGAGAATAAAATTTTTTTTATAAACTTATGAGAGAAAAGCAGGTCTTCAAGATCCCTGAAACTGCATACATACAAGCCTGCATAGGAAAGCTAATTGTGACACAAAATACAATTAAACACACAAATTAAAGCATCTTTAAAGCCAAAGACAAGCATTAAGTAGCCAATATAGTGAAATAAGTTGAAAAGTCTCTGTCTCTGCTACATATTAAAGCAACGAGAGTAAATGTAGTAGATTTAGACAATGACATGAAGGCACACAGTTTTATTGGTTGTATATTTGCCATAAACATTTATTTAGTAATTAAATTAACAAGCATAATCTTATAGACACAACGACAAATATGAAGAGATCATGAAAGTGAGTGTTCGTAGCCACCAAGTGCTACTACAAACACTGACTCTCATGATGCTGATGTGATTGATGGGCCACGTTGCTCTTGCTTCAGTGCATCTCTGAAACGTATCGCAACCTCCAGTACTAGGCTTATAGAAAGACAGCACACAAGCCGCCAGCTATCTAGGTTCAGCTGACCTTCGCTAACATGGGCTTGCAGGCTGCCCATGCACTGAGCTGCATGGACCACTAGCACAACTGCCACAGTTCGGCTAACTAGAGGAGCAGACAATGACTTTCCCCACATCCTCAGTAGCATGCTAGGAAGTTGCCAGGAGCGAGCTGTCTTTTCGTCCACTTTACTTTCTTCACATCTATATCCAAAAATTAAAATAAACTTAAAACAGTACAATTACCATTCCCTATACTTTCCTTGGCTTCATTATCTGCTGGTTTTTATTAAGGCTACAGTTGAAGCTGGTGTCATATGTTCCTTATTACACAGTTAATTATTAAAGCAACAATAAAGTCCACACTTTGTTTGACTTGAGAAATTTTAATGTCAACAGTGAACACACAGATATTATTGAGTTGTCTTATTTATGACTCTGGTGCATACACTGTTATAGACTCCACGGTGGCGCAGTGATAACGGTGCCTGGTGGCTACCCGAAAGGTCCAATTACAGCCATGGCTGTCGCACTTCAATGGAGGCGAAATGCTAGAGGCCCATGTACTTAGATTTAAGAGCATGTCAAGGAGCATTCACATGGGAGAGCGTTTCACGGTAGATAATGGCACAACCAAGAGACATCAGATGGTGAAGAGAATGTGCAAGTGCCTTGCACGGGATGAGGCAAACTATGAATGAGGCCAGTGTTGCCATACTACTCTGGTGACTTGCATCCCCACATCACGTTTGTTTATAGACAGATACAGCTTAAGAAATACAGAGAGGCCCCACCCAGACGATCGAAACGCGGCATCTGATCTCTTCTCTGCGACTGAAGAAATTGTCCTACTCATGCACTCGGCAATGATTTTCTAAAGTGGGGACACCGGCCATGCATTACACCAGTCTTAGAGTGCGTGTCGATTGGTGCAGCATTGTGAGCATCCACCTTTGAGAAAGAAAATGTCGCGGACTTCCAAAGTTGTATCCGACCATAGTTGCTAATGAAAAAGTCACAGCTTTGCCGCAAAGGTGAAGCAATGAACACGATAGCGACAAATTGGAAGGTAACGCACAAAATGGAAAGCAGATTGAAATGTGCCTCGCGTGTTTCACGCACAAATGACACACAAAATGTACTCACAGGTACAGATGCATGCAAATAAGCATCTCAGTTGTTTTTTCGCTGTGTCTGAAAAGTGCGCCTTTTTCGCAAGCGGAGACTGCAAAGATTCCAGTGATCTTTGGGCACTACAACAGAACCGTTCCAGGTAAAGCCCGAGGCGAGCCAAGACATACGATCCTCCCCTCCTCCCCACCGCGAGATAAGGACGCGGGAGAGAACGTCACTTTCCTTCTCTGAGCGGGGCAAAGTACGCGTGGGAGATTCGAGCGCGTGCCGCCGCGTGATGTGGTGACGCGCATTCATTGCGCCATCTTGCTGGTAATGCTGAAAATACGATAATGCCCCCTGAGATGCCGGTGAGCAACGGTATGTGGTACATATAAATAGCTTGCCATTTAAGCGGTGAAGGAAATGCTCCTCGGTGGCTCAGCGGTTAACGCCTCGCACTCACGATTGAGGGAACCCAGTTCGAATCTACGCGCCGGATTCTTTTTCTGTTTTTTTTTTTCTTTCTTGCATTTTCAAATATACAGATATGTAAACACATACGGTGAGTGATGCGGACGCCGGTGGCAAAATCCAGCCGAGAGTGTCCATATACTAATTGCTATCACAATAATTGAAGCACCAGTGTGACGTGAGAGTGCAGAACAAAGCACGCTGGCAGTCCTGGGAAGAATGGCCAAGCACAGAAATAGGCTTTTGATATGTGCACTGCTGCCTATCACAAAATGCGCGTTAAAGTATCTATCTCACTTTTTACATAATAAATGCAGATGCTACTAAACCCTTTGGTTGGGAAATTCACATACTTTTGGTGTTGGAAAGGTGCACACAACAAAAGCGCTACTCTTAGCGAGGTCATTGACAGTGGCTTTTCTTCTTTCTTTCTCTGCTGATGAAACTGCACTGCCACCTGGATCTGTCACTTACGATATAGCCAGTCAATAGAAATTAAAATGCAGTACCTTTCTATGTTGGTCAGCATTCTATTAATTAAAAAATTCAGCTATAATAGTCTTTTTTTTTATAAGAACAGCTGAAAACAACAGATCTGTTTTTTAGATATTTTATAGATATCAGTACAAACATTTACTAAAATTTCAGAGCACAAGGAAACTATAGACCGCTGCTGTCTTCACCTTGCAACATCAGTCATCAATGTTCCAGAAAAAAAAAAGAAATCTCATTTCACTGCTGTATACTGAAAACTTAGGCATCAACTGTGGTCTCAGCAGTCTGTTTAAACATTTTTTAGAATGTAAAATAGTATATGCGTAAGGTGGAGAACTCAAATATCTTGCAGCAGTTTACAATAAAGTTGGCACTAAGTTTTTGTTAATGCCAATAATTTTGCTCACTTTAGCATTAAATTTTTTTCTGGCTATAGCTGCTCAAATTACTTTTCATAAGGCAGGTACTTCTGCACGAGAGCTATGTAGTCTGTGGGAACAAGTGACGTTCCACGAATCATCAGGAACGGTCATTCAAATAGATTATTCATTGCTTTTCCTCATTAATACATTAAAAACCATGTGTCATATTTTTCTTTTTCAGTCATTAATTTATTGACAATGGGCACCACCAAGCTGAAACAGTCTTAAGAAAAGGCTTATCAAAATCGCTGCGCTAAGAAGATTTAATATGCGACATAATGGGGATAGTGCACTGTCGTTTGCCTGGAAGTCATCTCCCACAGAGCATTTTTCAAGTTTGATTTACTGTTGTCTTCGGACATAGTGTCTTACAAGTATGTATACTTTTTACAAAAGAGATGGAAAAAAAAAAAAGAGAAAGTGGCCTCATTGCTCAGTTTTGCCATTTCAGTACACGCCAAGTAATTGCATATCCAGAAAAACAGCTGCAGATGCAGTCACAGTAATGGAAGTGACTTTTTACTCTTTGGAGCAGGAAAAGTACTGCTCTGGAGCAGCTATAACTGTTTTCAGAGCAGAAAAAATGCTAGTTTAGAGTGCCGTAACTACTCGAATCTAACGCGCACCTTTTTTCCGGTTAAGCTAGTTCATAAATCGCATGCGCGTTAGAATCGAGTATGAAAACAATGAATACGGTCATACTATTGTTATCGGCATTTTCAAAATGGTCGCCCCCTTTGCGCGTCGGCCATTTCTGCCTATGTGTTTCCCATGTGCGGCACTTCGTACGTGTGCTGAGGAGTTCCTCATCTTGTAGTGCATTAGCATCGACGGCATGGAAGGACTGACTCCAAAAACTCGAGTGCACCTCAATGCTGCTTTTAAAAGGGAAGTCATCGCGTGTGCAGAAACGAACGGAAATCGGGCCGCATCGCGGTCGTTCGGAGTTTTTGAAATGTGCGTGCGGGACTGGCGGAAACAAAAGCAGAAGATTGTCGACAGCAAAGCTTCACGCAAAGACTTCAGTGGACCACAGCAGCGTCGGTTTCCGCAAATTGAAGAGCTGCTCGGCGAGTATGTGCTTGAGCAGCGAGCGGCACAGCGGCCCGTGACAACAGAACTGCTCCAAGTGCGGGCTATGCAGTTAGCCTTAGAAAAAGGTCTAATGCGAAGCCAGTTTAAAGCGAGCAGGTGCTGGCTAACTAACTTTATGAAGAGGAAAGGCTTTTCCCTCCGAAAGTGAAGGGGCATATGCGAAAAGTTCTGCGGAAGAGTACGATAAAAAGCTTCACAGTTTTCACAGGTTCGTCCTAAACTTGCGGCACAACAACGGCTACCTGCTTGGGCAAATCGGGAATGCCGGTCAGGCGCCTCTTTACTTCGATATGCCTGGCACCGCAACCGTCGAGAAGAAGGGGGCAAAGCAAGTTCGCGTGCTGACGTCGGTCCACGGTAAAACTACAGTGACGGCAACGCTCTGTTACACGTCAGATGAGCACAAGCTTCCCCCCGTACCTCATATTTAAATGGAAGAGCTCCCGAAAGGAGTCGTTTTTTCTAGTGATGTGATCAAGCTGACCGGCGAGAAAAACGGATGCGCGTTGCTATCGATGTCATAATTTTTTTTTTTTTTTTGTCGTGGAAATCGGGTGCGCGTTACAATCGAAGGCGCGGTAGAATCGAGTAAATACGGTAGCTATTGGTGTTTCAGGAGCAGATCATACATTAATTGGAGCTCAGAGCACTGTCGAAACATCACAGAATTTTGTTATTTATTGTGAAATATATTTACCAGACAACAATCAGTGTAAATTTCATGAAGCAAACAATGGCAGGTTGTCAAAAATGTGCTGTGAATGAGCTACACTTTAAAGTAATAGTATTTGTGGCAGAATTCAAATCAAACCAGAAAGTCTGAGTGCCACGTTTTAGAAGTAACCACAATTCCATATAACTGTTGCTAAATAAGCAGTAGATAATTGGTATGAAAAAAAAAAAAAAGGAATCCTGTTCATTTTCACATTCCACCACACAAGCCTACATGAATAAAAAAAAAACAAGCTGGCAAATGAGATATGCTTAATATGCTGGTTCTTGTTGCACAAATGAGATCAAAGCCAATAATGCTGCACATTAGTAGCACACTGGCACGATGGCACACAGATTATTCTCAGTTAGTTTAGGACTTATGAGTCGGTCAAAAAGTAAAAGTTCATCATTCTCATTCTCTCAGTGTCATTTTAGAGCAGATTTGGAACAATTACAAAAAAAAATTACTGCTTCGAGCAGCACTTTCATCACTGCAGTCAATACACCCTCCAAGAAATTTCGATATGGTTTCTGCCCCTTGTAGGAGTAACAGAGACAATGTTGCTAATGATAGAATTTATCACTTTCTCTTGTTCCCACGGTAGGTTTCTTGTATTTGTCAACATTTTGACAATACATGTACAATTTATTGTAAATAATGCATTTTACCGTGTTCAGTTTTTACTCAAGCCAACACACACAATTTCGTTCGAATAGACCTGCAACAGGAGTGTGACACTAGCAGTCTAATCTCTTACTTTTTGAACAAGCCCCGAAAATAATGAAAAAAAAAATACCTTGAGCTTAGCTTCGTGTAGTCCATAAGCTTTTTCAGTTGAGAACTTTCCACATCCCAAATCAAACTCCTAAAAAGAATCCATAAGGAAGAGTAAGTCTGTTTGGCATTTCATGACAAAGCAGCTGCACGTACTGTGGTCTAATTCAGTTGTGCGCATGACGAAAGTTGTGTCAGTATGTTATGCTCAAAAGCTAGTTGATTTGCATCAGTTGATGGTGATCCATGATTGCTCTTTGCAGAAAACATTGGAGAAACAACACAAGCATGCAAGTGCTAACTGTCGAATGAAGTTTTAAGCTCATACTTATACAATTTCAAAATATCCCACTGATATTTCATTAAAGATCTTGTACTTGTGTTGTGCAGCATTTTTTTCTTGAAGCAATCATGTCACGCTCATGAATGCAATTTTTTTATCAGAACAATATGGGGCAGGTCGAATTTTGTAATAAGAGCTGGGCTATGACAAATAATAAGTTGAGAACACAGGATTTCTTTAGGCTTTCATCACAGCTTCTTTTTTTTTTATGCAACCAAAAGTTTAAGACAGAAAAATTTTCTTTGTTAGACTTTAAATTATGCTCGTGCAGCCAAGAACTATGCATATTTCAATACATGAACACTGCAACACAAAGATCATGCAGCACGAGCTTTCAGAGTGTCAGGTTTGTGATGATTTGAATCTTTCTTGCTACAGATGCACCTGAACTTAAAGGTGTGGCATATAGTGTACAAGGTGATAGGAAGGTCCTTTTGCACTTAAGAATTACAGGCTCAAGGCAGATCTATGAGAAAGGTTGTAATGTTACTTCTATGCCGAAAAACTGAAGCCATCAGGCATAGATAAGTGAGATTCTAAATCATTTAGACTTTTCACTATTAAAGGCTCATTATTTTAAAAGAAAACAAATTTCTAATTTTTGTGTTTGAATTTCACACCATAATGTCAGGAGGACCTTCATAAATTTTAGTCCTTTACTTTTGCATTTTTGCCACACTGGCACAACAAATTTCACAGAAACTGGGTATTTTAGGTCTCTGGATAATTTAAAACGCAATGTAATGACTTATGAAGTCCCTAGCAAACACTGTCAAAATCTATTACATCACAGCAAGTTTCTCTCAGAATGTCAAGGTCCTGTCACCACATGTACTATTTTTACACATTTTTTGACTCATCAAAGTGTCTTCTTGTTGAAAGAGTAATGTTGTTATTGTGAAAGAGAAATTTACTACAGTCGAGCTCACATATAACGGCCCCACTTAAAACGAATGTTCGCTTAAAACGAACAATATCCGCGTGACCGTGAAAATATACATTGGTTCAATGGCACAAAATCGCACTTACAACAAACGTCTCTGAGCGCCGCTGATCGGCTACAGCGAACGAAGTCAGCGGTCTGCCGACTTCCCGGGAAACCAATTTCGACCACCGATCAGGCATCGGCGAGGTGCCCATACATTCTTATTGTTAAACGCCGATTCTGCCTCAACGCCTCTCTAGTTGCTGCTCTCCCAGACCGCTTTTTATTACGCACCCCTCCGTCCTTTGTCCCCCCCCCGCTACTCTGAGTACTCCGCATCGCCAGACGAGGCCCGTGTTTTCACACTGCCACCGATATTTCGAAGACCGGTCAGCCACGTACCCTGTTTTGGATCGCTGGTGCTGTCGTTGGCGTCACCGGCCTGGAGTGACCAGACCATTTGCCAACATCGTCGGCCACCGACTGTATCCGATAGTCTGTGTCTAGTGCACGCCCGTACGCTACCCCACCGACTTTGATAATTTGCGATTCGTTTCGTGTTTAGGACTTGTTCTCGCTCACTTCGCACTCAACTCAGCATGCTTTCCGCGCGCGTGCGGAAGCGCAAAAATGGTTGCTAATTTACGCGGAACGAATCGTGAAATATCGAAGTTCGTGAAGCCATGCAAACCTGCCGGTGCAACGAAACAATTTTTTGACCACGGCCGCCAATTCTTCGAACACCGCCGCGCGCACCGATTCAGGCGACCATGCACTTTTTTCAAGTTTTTCTACGTGCGAGTTTCGCGGACCTTGCAAGCAAGCTACCCAACCTGCCTCCTTCCCGAGTGTTTTGGTTTTCAAGGTCGCCCTCCCACCGCATCCTCCCCTCCCATTATCGCAACTCCTTGCCTTTCTCTCGCAAGTCTGCTCACCTCTCTTGATCACAACTAGAGTTACTGTATATGCTACCTTTAGGTAGCAGAATTGCGCCAAGGTACGCCATCTTGGGTTCAAAAGTCTTGCGGGAAAGCCACTAGCACCCACGTAGGAGCAACGCTCGCGCTTCAGAGTGCGACATTGTCCCTCAATATTGAGGGACTATAGTATTACCGTGGATTTGTTTATTTTTTCACTTTCTTTCTATTTTTTTAATGTTATGAGTATACTCGGTTGCTCTGGTCACTCCTAGAAGCTTTGATTTGATGCTTACGTTCTTGGTATGTAATAATAAAACAAAGTGCTTCGGCTCGTTGAACCATTAAGATGGTTGGTTTATACTAGCTTTTTATTTATGACAGGTTACACTAGCTTCGTCTTTTTTTCCGCTGTTTTTTTTTCATTTACAAATATAAAATTATTTTTGCACTTTAATCGCGATCGAGCCAGTTAGGGATAAAAATTTTTCATCGTGCTGGACTCATTCGTTAACTGTGTGAGGGAGCCAGGTGTAGTTTTATCATCTTCAACTGAATCGAGCTAGATAGCGATCGATAGTACTCGTGCGACGCCTATGTTACACGCGGCTCTTTATTACGCTCGTATGACAATTGCGGCTCATGACAGTTAATTGATCTGAATCGTTGTTAAACAGCCCTGTCGCTCCTAACATTCCTTCCGCGTAAGGTTTGAAAGTGGCATTAAATTCAGGTAATTCACACGCTAGCTGCAACACCTTGCCAATTTGAATAAGTCTAGTTTAACTTATTCTCCCTTTATTTTTAGTGTTATACCAGTCAGACCAATTGGGACGTATGCAGCCAACACACGCTGACCAACTCTGCATGTATAACATAATCACTCCATCAGTGGGCAATACAAATTTAGCAAGTTTGCAGTGCCATCGATAGATAAAAAGAAATCAAACATTTATTCCTTCCTCACTGCACATTAATTTTTTTCTAGCAACACCTGCTGCACACGCATCAAATCACATGGTCTGTAAGTAGTACAATTTACCACAGAATGCACTTGATACCACATTTCTCCCGACCAACATGACTACAGTACCGAATAAGTGCGGTGAAAATAACAACAGACGATGTCAACAAAGTTTGATCTGCCCGGAATCATCATAGCGTTGGCTTCTCTGCAGTGCAGTTAAACCACTTATGACCACGTGATGGCACTCGGCGAATAGGGGCACGAAACTCCTGTAGGCGGAGTGAGCGGCGCTTGGAAAACAGAGGCGCAACTCTGCTACCTAAAGGTACCATATACAGTAATTCTAATCACAACCCCTTCGCCCGTCTCCACCGCTCCGCGATGCCCTCCACGCTGGCTCGAATTAGTTTCGTTTTCTGACTGTAAACGGGCCCGGAGCTGTTCCACGCTCCCTGGCATGTGTGCCCCGTGTGCGCGTCTTGCTCGCTCTTGGTGTGTGGTCATGATGGCCGACGGGAGGACTAGCACGCTTTTTCGTGCCGCTCAACAAACTGTCGAAAGACCGCATGGCTTGAGCGTAATCAGCGTGTTAGGTGCCGCGTTGTGGAGCGCTTGCTCATAGCTGTTGACCACCTGGCAGCCAACTTGCCACTTCGGGAATCCCTGTATTTAGCTGTGGAGATGACGCATATTTCGTGGGCAGCAGTGACGACTACATGCGCGCGAAACTGTTCTCGCGAGGCCGACTTTGTCGACGTCGGGCCAGATGCCGAGCCTGAAGCTTCTGAACTGCGGCGGCGAATTTTGGCCGCGCGTCGTCGACTCCGACCTGGGAGAGCGGGAGGGACATCTGTTGCGATGGTTTAATTACGGCCGATGATGACGCCGACACTGCGGAACCGTGCACAGATTGGGGCATTGTGAATGAAGTACGTGGCGACAGCGATTTGGAAGAATCGAATTGCGAGAACAACGAAACTTTGGAGCCAGTGCCTCATGCAGCATATGCCCCGGGCCTCGGCAAACGAGCACCCTGCCGTTTTAAATAAACTCGAGACCGCCCTTATCGCTTCTGTTCTTCGAAACACGAGCATCACAGACTTTTTGGGGCAAAAAAAAGTTTGTGTTTTCACTTGCAACTTCTTTTAAAAGCTGTGTTTCATTTACTACGAACTTCGGGATACAGAGAACGGATGCCGCGTCACGCTCAGGTTCGTTATAAGCGGGTTCGACTGTATTACATGAGAAATTGTTTTTCTATTCAGTGTCCTTAAAACTTAACAGAGTATCATGTCTCCCAACCAGTCATGGCTGTAGGAAAATGTTAGCTTTTAAAAAAAAAGAAGGGGGGGGGGGGGGGATGGCAAGGATGAAAAGCATGCTAACATATTGCCTCTTCCGAGAGCCAATAAGTGCAAATGTGCGAAGACTAACACAACAGTTCTGTAATATATATATATAAATATATATATAGCTTCAATGACATATCACTGCACAGACACAGCCGCAGAAGCCTTGGTTCGTTTTATTCCTTCAAAGTTTGCTAAGGAACCCTGAAATACTATATATATATCCAATTCCAATGCGCCCCCGATTTTAAACCTGCACTTGAATTACACGGCCCCCACCCCCCAAAAAACATACAGCTGTATGTGGCAGTTTAAACGTCTGTAACCAAACCGTCTGACTGGTTTGAATCGTCTGTACCCGTGCATGTGATTTTAAGGTCTATTTTTTTTTTCTTTCAATTTTCCCCCCAAAAAAGGTGCGTGTTCAAATTGGATAAATACGGTACTATTCAAGACATTCATCTACCCCAAATCCCCGTCACTGCAGCTGGGAATGAAACATGACTTTGAGCATAGCAGCAGAAATGAAATGGCTGCGGCACCGGCGGATGTGACTAATACAGCTAATATTAGTGAAAAATAATAACTTGCCGCAAAGGCTGCATCAATTCCAGCCTTCTTGAGCCGATCAAACTGCGCATCAGTTAAAAAACTTGTGAGAGTTACCTTAGATGATATCACATCTGAAAAAGGAGAAGGAATGCACAGAACTGAATATATTAAACCAGTTTTTATAGGTTCATAAAGAAAAGCATGGCAGCGTTATATGATGCTTCAGTCTCAGTGCACCATGCATGCAAAGTGAGTGGAACATGGTCATTTAGTATACCATGGAATTGCAAGCTGGGTGAGTTGGATAAATCTGGCGATGCAAAACGTATTTTTTTTATGCATGCAAATTTTTGTTAAGAGTGCACTTCTTATAAAAAGCAATAGCTCCGCTAAAACAAATGCTTTTAAAGGCGTCCTGCATCCCTTTTCTAAGAGATCATTAAATGACATCACTATCGGCGTTTATTGCCTCAGTATTGCCTCATGAATCTATTGCCACGGAATTCGTCAAGAATGAGCAAAGCTACACTGGTTTGTCAGGTGCGTTGAGCCTTTTCTCTCTCTTCTTGTTCCAACAAACACATTAAAAGCACAGGGAAAGAAGCTATGTCAGCATGCGCATAACCTTGTGCACGCATGTAAAATGTTATAAATCTCTCTAAATATTTTTGTGTGCGGTGTTCTCACTGCGTGATGTTAGCAGACTATGAGTGCTGCGCCAGGATGTTGTGGCACCCTGTGGCAAGTGCATCTGATACAAATGTCACTCTTGGTTTATTAACGAGAGTTCCAACAAAGAAAAATGAGTGCTTAAACTTCCACTTCTTTCCTTCACTCTTGCTTTATATAAGCTATCGGCCAATAGCAGCAATACTATATGACCCCATACAGCAGCAGCCGGCAGCTCCGAAGAGAGTGAGAATGCGCCTTTCTATGAACAGAGGATGCTTGAGAAAGTGGCAACTTCGTGCAACACTTGTAAACTCTCCTTGTCGTGCACCACTGCAAGATGTGGCTATGGTGTTCACAGCAACATATGCTTTCTGCTGTATGTGTTTTTTTACTAAGTATGACTGGTGCTTCCACACTCCTTGAGAGACAGAGAAAGATAATTTATTGTAAGGCAGAGAGATTGGCCTCAGCTAGTCCGCCCTAGCCTGCTACTCTGTACAGCGGGTAAGGAAAGAGGAAAAAAGTCCCAGCATTGTCGCAAAGGCAAAGCAATGAACGTGATATTAACAAATTGGAAGGTAACGCGCAGAATGGCAAGCAGATCGAAACGCGCCCCGCGTTTTTCATGCACAAATGACTCACGAAACGTACTCACAGATACAGATGAATGCGAATAAGCGTCTCAGTTGTTACTTCGCTGTGTCTGAGCAGCGCGCCCTTTTCACAAACAAAAACTGTGCAACGATTGCAGTGACCTTTGTGCGCCCAGTAACTAAAACAGAATCGTTCTGGTGAAGGCGTAAGGCCAGCCAAGGCTTATAATTGTCCCCACCGCGAGATAAGCAATCACATGCGTGAGCGTCCACGCTGCACCCTCTCCGCAGGGCAAAGTACGCGTGGGAGGAAAGAGCGCGCGCCGCCATGTTGTGACGATGTGGCAACGCGCCATCTTGCTGGTAATGCTGAAAACACGACAGTTTCCCTCGAGACGTGCGAATGCTACGAGTGCACGAAAAGAGCGAACGCGCGTCACATCGGCTCCTGCTCTTTTCGTGAGGACTGATGCAACCCTGCTTTACACTTCATCAAGATAGAGCCTATCATCTTCCTACCATCGCTCTGTACCAAAAGACACCTCCCTTACAGGTGGGCCGATTTTCGGGCATTTTACGCCCACTTTTTGACCTCACCTCATGGGAGCTATGCACGCCCGACCGAGTGTTTAATGGAACGCTGACTGAGTCGTGACTTCTCCATGGTCGCAGCCACACATGGCGGCCACCGCTCTTCGTGGATATGATCTCATAGCGTTGGTGTGGAAAGAAGCACTTACTTCAATGCCCAAAAAATCTGTTCCGCCAACAAATATTGTGAATGAGGGATCGTTCACTGTGGTGGCCTTCGGCAAGGGTAGCCAGCAATCTAAAGCTACCAAGGACTCTGCTACCAATAAGGCCACGTCCGCGAACATTCCGCTCGAAAGGAAGACATCCCGTGTACCGTGGCAGCCTACCGCTATGCCCCACATTGCTGCAGAAGACTTCCTCATCGTGCTGAAGCCTCTGGTCACGATGAATCTCAAAGATACTTTTAATCTAGGTGAACTAGGCGCCCAGCTCACTTCATATGTGATCGCAACCACGAATGAATGTATCAGTGTGTGGCCCATGTGTGAGCAAAATATCGTTGTCTCAATCAAAGACATCAACTCTGCGAACCTTCTCTCACGAGAATTCTCGCTCAAAACATCACAGGGTCCCCTATCGATGATGGACCACGTCAAGATCAGCAGAGAAGTGTGCCATGGCGTCATTACGGCACTAGAGCAGGAGACCTCCAAGTCATTTAAAGCAAAGATCCACTGGCGTGGTGGAAGCATTGCTTTCATCAGAAAGCTTGGCAAGACTTCAATGGCCCTTATAACTTTTGAGGGCCGTCGCGTGCCACGTTTCGTGTACTACAACAATGTCGTGACGCCAGTATGCGAATACAGCAGCACCATTCCAGCCTGCTACCACCAATGTCGTGACGCCAGTATGCGAATACAACAGCACCATTCCAGCCTGCTACCACTGCGGGACAGTGGGGCACCAGGTGGAGCTGCGTCCCTACCCGAATGATCAATGCTGCGGCCATTGTGGTTAAGTTGTCAGTGCCTCTGAGGAGCAGATGGCACCGCACGAATGCAAGCCATCGTGCCTGGAGTGCGGTGAGAGACACCTCACCAGATTCCCGGCCTGCAAGGCAAGGTTTCGTTGCCTGCACCAGTCGGGTCGGCATCATGGCAGCCGCGGCTCGTCGAAGCAGCGGTCAACGCCCAAGACATCTGACGTCATGCAAGAAGGACGTCGACCCAGAACTACCGACCAAGCTACCAAGAACCCTGCTACCAGAGGGACCAGTCAGCAAGCACCACCTCGACCTAAGACATGAACGTCACAGCAGACATTATCCAAGACACCTGACCAGGGTGCCCCGTGCTCCAAGCTGGGGGCTTTCCACCTCTGACTGACGCTGGCGCAACGGCCCCCTCCTCCTCCTCTTGCTCTTTCTTCCTCGCTTCCTCCCCCGAATTCCTCGAGCTCAAACAAGCGCTTGCTGCACTGCGGGCACAGAACGCGCAGCATCAAGCAAAATTGCCGCTTTGGAGACAGGTAGTGCACCAGACACCCAAGCGTCACCCCTCACCAACATTACCGTTGCCGCTTCAGAACCGACGCCCATGTGCATCATTCCGTTCGTCTCGGAGCCCTCTAACACTGAAGAGCGATTTCACGCTATTGAAAGTACTATGAATGCTTTAATGACAGAACTCACCACCATAACCAAAAGCACTGAAACTCTTTCCGACACTGTCACCCAACAGGTGACGAGTAACATTAAAACTTGGCTCCACGGCGTAAACCCTCGAAGCCAAAGGACTAGTTCTCTGAAGGACGTTAATCGTCCCTTTAAGCTTTCAGATGCCATCAACCTCGCTAAAACCTCCACCGAAGATTCCGAGCTTCTAACTTGCACAGGGCGCCGATCTAGGGGTAGAGTCCCGCCCAGCTACCCCAAATTCTCAATATGACGACACTTCTTAATCGCTGCTCCCCATCGCCACCCTGAAAACTTCAGCTACTCTCTTTAATTCAGTGGAACTGTAGAGGCACTAGGATAGGGCCAAACGGGCCTATTTTCGCCTCTATCTTGAAACCTTTGAACACCTATGTGCTGTCGTTGCCCTTCAGGAGCCCGGCAACACCGTGCACCTCTCAGGTTACAACACTTTTCAACGGGGCCCATTCACTTGCCTTCTTGTACATAAAACCTTCACTATGCAAGAGGTCGACCTTGAAATTTCAATACCGTACTCGTACACTATGGTCACAGTCTTTCCTCTGCGCAGAACCGTCCCCCTGGTGCACATCCTCAATGTTTATTGTGAACCTAAACTAAATATATCACATTCGCTGACATCTCCAGCAGGGCACTGAAGCTTGCAGGGCAGGACCCCTTTTAGTAGCGGGTGACTTACACGCCCCTGGCAGGCTTTGGGGCTATTGCAAGGAAAGGATGCGTGGACGGAAACTTGCAGAACTAACTTCCACACTGGGCATGACTCTTCACACAGACCTTGCGCAACCATCCCGTGTAGGTAAATCTGTCAGCCAGGACACCTGCCCCGACCGAACATTCACGAAAAACATCAGACATGCAGACTGGTTCAATACCGAGGAAACCCTCGGTAGTGATCACTGCATTCCCAACACTACAATTTCGAGACGACCCCTACAACGCGATAAGACAGATGCTTGGGCTAGTTGGTGATTGGGAACCAAGATTTTTGCACAGCGCAAGACCACGAGTAGTTACGCCATAACTACAGAAGAAGAGACAAGGACAGAAAAAGTGCTGACTTCAACTGAAATTTTATTAACGAAAAGGCTGGAAATATATACTCGTGACCGAACATCACTGCACAACCTATTGCATCACAGCAAGACAATCATAATCTCATTATATGGTTACAACACCACACCTCAGCGCAAATTCACAATCTATTGTGTCAAAGCCACAAACTCAATTTTTTTTTAAATCAGAGCAAGCGAAGGCATGCTGATGCATCGATCACCCAGCATTTGCATTTGATTGGCCTCTATAATCTCTCGAGTTAGCTGCTGACGGTGTTTGTTTACAACAGTGCACTTTTCAAATTCCAGTCTGAAACTACAATCTCTACAATGGATACCCAAATAGATACCCAAACTACAATTAAACAGGGACGAGAAGCACCAGTGAACTGCGTGGCTAGTAGCTCAAAGTGTGTGGCTGTGATTCCCTATCTACATAGGATTTCCGACAATTTGAAAAGGATAGGTGATAAGGTAGATGTGAAGGTCGTTTTTTCTGCCAGAGAAAAGCTTTCAGCGCTCTGCAAACGAGTGAATGCGCAGTCTGCACGAAGGAGCTGCTT